ATATCAATTTAATCTATCTCTTAAGAGGCTCAAATGATGTTAAACAGATGTATTCCAAAACCAAAACAAGCCCAAAACAGTAGCAAAATAGCTCCAGAACTACCAGAAAAAAGTTGGCAAGTTGCAGAGGCTTTTGGCCGGCCGGCAGATATATTGGTCGGCCGTACAGGTCTTTTGGCCAGCCGACAGATATATTGGCCAGCTGGACAGGTTTTTGGCCAAGCAGAGACAGATCTTTTGCACGCGGCAGATATAGTTGGATTCTTTAATATTTACAAAAAAAAAGAAAAGAAAAGAAAAGAGAATTGATAATAACATTGACTAAAAATTTAATTGATAGTTGGATTCATTAATATTAAAAACTAAAAATAAAAAAATAACATTGTCTAAAAAATTTGATAGTTGGAAACTTTAAATACTTAAAAAAAAAAAAAAAAGAAGAAAGATATTATTGAAAAAAGTAAAACAAAATTATTTACTACGTTTTACGAATATGATAGGTATTATATTCGCGTCAAGCCGGGGGTTTACAGTGAATATGTGGTGGTGGGAGAGGACAAGACGAACATTGCTCTGATTGGTGATGACGCCGCAACCACGAAAATTACGGGTAACCGGAGTAATGCCATCGGATTTGGAACTCCACAGTCTGCTACAATGAGTAAACTTCACTCACTCTTTTGCAAGCAATTCTATTTTGGTTGTTTTTTAGTTTGCATGTGTTTAGGGTTGATGAAGTAATTTTTTTTACCAGTATGTTTTTAAAAAGTTAAATCTTTTTGCATGAAAAAAGTTGGAAAAACAAGTGTTGATAATATTTATTGAGGAAATTACAAATCAGTTTATTTTTATAAAAATATTTATAGATTAGTAAAAAAATGTATTAATATTAATAATTAAAATCATAAGTTTTTCAATGAATTTGTAATTATTTTTCTAACACTATATGGGTTGTAATTTTTCCATATTTATTTTTGAATCTAGCCTGCATGGTTGAAGTTTTGGTTATATTCTCATCATCCTCTTTAGCCTAACATATGTATACATTTTCAGTAATGAATGTATGATTGAAATTGAATTAATATATTGTGAGGTTTAAACTTAAATGAATTTGAAACACATAGTGATATTTTTTAGTAAAATTCTAAATATATAGTATGTTTCTTAATAACCGGATATTCGGAGTACCTTGACTAATCTCGAATTTGAATAACTGATAGATTTTTGTTTTCACAGCTGTTGATGGGGAAGGCTTTATTGGCCAGTCTTTAACGATTGAGAACTCAGCTCCAATAAACAGTGGTCAAGCAGTTGCACTCAACAACAATGCAAATCACTCAGCATTTTACAAGTGCATTTTCATGGGTTACCAAGACACCCTATTGGCAAACACAAATTCACAGTTTTACAAAAACTGTGAAATTTCAGGCACTGTCGATTTCATTTTTGGTTTTGCCTCAGCCGTGTTCCAAGATTGTGGCATCTACGTTCGTCGACTCTCACCTGCTAATGTGATTACCGCTAACGGTGGGAAACCCAATCCAGCATCGACTAATTTTGGATTTTCATTCCAAAATTGCACAATCAACGTTGCACCAGAACTTAGGTCACGCAAAAAGGAAGTGAAGGCTTTTCTAGGGCGGCCGTGGCAAAATTATGCCACGGTAGTGTTCATGGAATCGTATTTGGATGAAATCGTGCCACCGGAGGGATGGACATGGTGTTGTAATAACACGATTTTGATGTTCGCGGAGTACAATAACCGAGGCCCCGGGGCAAATACTAGTAGAAGGGCAAAATTGTCAGGGTATAAGGTCTTCAAAAGTGCAACTGAAGCTACCCCTTTTACAGTGTCTAAGCTGATTGATGGAGATTCATGGATCCCTCAAACTGGCATACCCTATAGGGGTGGTTTAAATAGTGTGTGAAACTATTTTTCTTTTTTCTATCATTAATTTGCAATAACTAACACAAAATACATACCCTGTAGGGGTGGTTTAAATAGTGTGTGAAACTATTTTTCTTTTTTCTATCATTAATTTACAATAAGGAACACAAAATACCACGCAATTGATGTGGTCATGGAATTTAATATATGCTATTTTAGTGGGTAGTTTGTTTTGAAATAATATTTTAATTGCAGTTGCATTATTTTATCACTGTCTATATAAATTTTGTGAATCATGAAAGCTTTTCTTGTTAGACACAACGGCCAAATTAGTAGTCACGAAATATTATGTGGTATTGTCTATGTAGTACTTAAGACGTAATGAAAAATTCTGTTATTAGGATAATATTTAACTCACTTTGTTAAGTGGTTGAGAGACAAAAAGACTCAATAGGAATTAATTTTCACAAGAGAATGGACTTGTAATTTTTTGTGGACATCCAAATTCAGAATCAATCAGCAACACCTTCGATTAAACCTTTCAATCGCACCTTCGAAGTGTTCTTCAGACTCTCTTGGGAGTATTTCTGGAAGGAGATGATCGAATAGACATGGAACCCTAGCACCTTTTGGGAGTATTTCAGTCTTAGAGTATATCTTGGGAGTATTTCAGTCTTGGAGTATTTCGGAAGGAGATGTGGAAGGAGAAGAGAAGATCGAATGATAGAGCATAATACAACCCTAATTTTATTTGATTGCATGTTTTATTTATTACAAAAGAACCCCAGAATTTTATAATTTTTAAAAGTAGACACAAAAAATTGCTCCAGTACCTTTTAATTTAAAAAAAAATCTCATTTTTTACCCTGGAGTTCTCAAAAACCTACCCATGGCGTACCCATTACTATACTGATCGTATAAAACGTACCCGGTGCATTTTTAGCGTACTCAGTACACGTGCAGTTGTATCGGTACGTGTATCCACTCCCGGTAAGTACCGAGCAATATTTTTAGAGTACCGGTGCTTCATATTATTTATCAAGAATTATATATTTATATATATATATATATATTTTTTAGGGTAAACTACCAATAGGTCTTAATAGTTTGACTTAATTCCCATCAAGTCCTATTGAATTTAAGTCTTGGTAAAATTGTCGTTAAAAATAATTTTTTTGTAACAATTTTTTACATACGTCACTAAAAATTGACAATTAGTGCATTTTTTTGTCATGATTTTTATAAATTGTCGCTAAGTGGGGCAGTCTATGTTAGTTATGCCTTCCAAGTGTTGTGTCAATACGCATCCAGGTTGCTAATTGGTTGGAAAATAAATATCTTACGCATTGTAGCAGAGATGGTTTGGTCTTTGTGTTGTGGTTTATTGGTTCTTGAAGTTTTGAAGGATAAAGGGTGCTCAGAAGATGGTTGATGTTGTTAAAGTTCATTAACTGGTGAAATGGCTTATTTTAGACGGTTAGAATAAGGACATAGTGCTGATCATGGTCTGTGGACTGAAACCATTCTAATAGAAATGTAGTCAATATGCAATAACTGGTCATATTTTTTAGTTATTGTATTTTTGTTTTAAACTTATGTTATTAGCAATCAACTTCATGCATCAAGATTGTTATGGATGTGGAAATAATGGCATACATGGAGCTCTTCCATTCAGATATATGGCAACGGAGATTCTGATTTTATTTTATTTTTTTTGTGGTCAATGCTTAATTTTGCTCAATGAAATATTAGAGTATTTACAATGAATGACCATGCTTTTACATTGCTTTATTAATTTGTTGCACTGAAACTCAAGGAATTATACTCAGCAGTGTTGATTTTTTCTTTTTTACTTACTATTTAGGTGTTTTATGTTAATTCACATTCTCTTTCCAGGGATTGGTTACTTGGAAGCCAAACAAATACATGGTATTCTTTTGAAGTTGACTCCAGAAAGCCGTAATATTTTTGGCCGGCAGTCCTCTCCCTCTCTCTCTGCCCCCTCCCCTGACTTACCATTTTTCTACATATATTTTTCTATCATTAATTTACAATAACTAACACAAAATACATACCCTGTAGGGGTGGTTTAAATAGTGTGTGAAACTATTTTTCTTTTTTCTATCATTAATTTACAATAAGGAACACAAAATACCACGCAATTGATGGTATTTTTTCTTTTTTCCTTTGGCAGGGTGTTTGGGAGTCAATCGTGCAATCTTTTGAGAAAGATCATATTTACCTTTGCGAGGCTGCTCAGCTAATGGTCCAGAATGTTAATTATGAAATGTGAGTGCTTTCATGATTGTCTACTTGGTTAATGCTAAATAATAATATTTGCTTGATGTTACTGCGGCTTATATTTGAAGACCATATCAGAAAAAGCAGGTCCAAAGGACTCAACAGCAACTGGCTGAACTAGAGCGCAAGGAATAGTTAAATGTTATTTTAGTGGGTAGTTTGTTTTGAAATAATACTTTTAATTGCAGTTGCATTATTCTATCACTCTCTATATAAATTTTGTGAATCAAGAAAGCTTTCCTTGTTAGAACGTAATGAAAAATTCTGTTATTAGGATAATATATGACTCACTTTGTTAAGTGGTTGAGAGACAAAAATATTCAATAGGACACAAATGAGAGTAGAAAAGAGATGAACTTACCTCTTCAATTGCACCTTCGAAGGAGAGAATCAATCAGCACCACCTTCGATTAAACCTTTCAATCGCACCTTTGAAGTGTTCTTCAGACTCTCTTGGGAGTATTTCTGGAAGGAGATGATCGAATAGACATGGAACCCTAGCACCTTTTGGGAGTATTTCAGTCTCAGAGTATATCTTGGGAGTATTTCAGTCTTGGAGTACTTCGGAAGGAGATATGGAAGGAGAAGAGAAGATCGAATGATAGAGCATAATACAACCCTAATTTTATTTGATTGCATGTTTTATTTATTACAAAAGAACCCCAGACGTTTATAATTTTTAAAAGTAGACACAAAAAATTGCTCCAGTACCTTTTAATTTATGAAAAAATGTCATTTTTTACCCCGGAGTTCCCAAAAACCTCCCATGGCGTACCCATTACTATACTGATCGTATAAAACATACCCGGTGCATTTTTAGCGTACTCAGTACACGTGTTGTTGTATCGGTACGCGTATCCACTCCCGGTAAGTACCCAGCAATATTTTTAGAGTACCGGTGCTTCATATTATTTATCAAGAATTATATATTTATTTCTTATACACACATATGTTTGCATTTTGTCTATCATCGATTGAACCAACCCAATTTGTATCACTAAATGCTTTCAATTTTAAGTGATCATGGTTAGAGCACAGGATCCATTTCACAAGAGCTGACTTGAGATACCTTTAAATGAACGATCAGGCACAGAAATTTTGGCATGATCAAGCAACTCAGATTATTATGTTCTTCCTCTTCCATGATTATGTCTTATGTTATTTTATTTTGCAGTATGTAACTCTAAATTAAGTTAATAAAGTTTGATTAAGTAGCATGTACTTGTTATTTTGAAATGATAGTTGAAATGGGAGAATAAATGGAGGGAGCAAAGTCATCATTGGAGCAACATTGCTAATATATAGCATTTTGTCTCTTTTTATTGCTAAATTATAACAATATTCAACATGTAGCTATTGAACCATTGGAGACTAGAAAATTCACAAGACAGCACTAGGAAACCATAGGAGATTTTTTTTACTTGACAGGAATACAAGAACTGATAGGCTGCTTCTTAGTAGTGATATGGCTTTGATACCATGTAAATATTGGAAACAAAAAGTGGAATTAAAATTTGGTTAAAAAAAAAAAACTAATGGCTTTGCGCAGAAAACAACACCTGAATCAGTGGTTGACGGAGTTGACAAATAACGAAACTCTGTCCTTGCAACATCAAGTCCAGGCAGTTGCTCCTTTAGTGTTGCAGCAGTACTTTCTGATACAATTCAGAAGATGTTGTCTGATGTTTCTTTGGCCATCTCCTCACTGACAAATAGAAAAACCAGGGATCAGATCATGATTCTCAACTCAAAAAGGTGCAGCATGCTTGTTTTTCAACAAGCTTTATACCTTGTCCATTTCCTTCACTGTCAAATTTCTTCTGCCCCACTTATTGTTTACAACACCAATCTATATTGAGAATTCACAAATGTCAATTATATTATATTTACATGACTTTTCTTTTGGTATTTGATTGATGCATATCTTGTGCGATCCCAATAAGTCCTTGCATTTTTGGTTGTTGTAAGGAATCAACTGTCTATTGTTATGACCGTTTCAGAAGTTTTCTGTCCTGATCTTGATGGTTTTTGCCCAGTAACTGCAGTTTGCTTGACTATACCTCTCCCTCCAGTCGTGCACATTACTAGTAGTTTGGTTTCATGATGCCATGCTTATTATTCCTAATGAGTTGTGACAATATCAAGTATTGACTGTAGTGTGCATCTAATTTTCAGGTTTCTCGATAAACTAGTGAGTACACTAGAGGAAAAGAAACACCACAAAGTGAAGTTAAAGGACGGGTAGAAGGACTTGTCTGCCAAACGCATGGGGCTGCAGAATTCATTGATGTCATTGTGGCCAAAGTAGGTGAGTTCATTCCTTTGTTGCTTAATTTAAGACATGGTGCTTGTGTTTTCAGATTAAACAATTATGTCCATAATTGGGTGTTCACTGCAACAACTGTAATGTATCTTTGCCAAGTGAAATGTGATAATACATATTTTAAAATTTTGTATCTCATATAGAGTGGAGGAATCTTGCACGACATTGCAGTACCCATCATACAACTTTTATTAACGAATCTGCAAATGAAACTTGTGTGTGTTAGCTCATCCATCCATTCATTTTTGCCAAGTTTCAAACTCATTGGTTGTTTGATCTCATTTAAAAAATGTATATGCTTATGTTCAACATTTTCAGTTCTATCGCGCATGATTTGGAATGAGAATTAAGTGGCTAGCAAAAAGTCCATCCCCGCCTTCTGTCATTTGCAAGTTGAGAATTAAGTGGCTAGCAAA